AGCAATCAACGAAACAGGCACAGGGGAAATAAACATCCCTGGCAATTACACTGTTGTGAGTAGCTCCACCGAGCTATATACTCTCACAATTAACAATCACCCACAAGGACAAGGGGGCAGAGGGAACACTTATACACAGACTAATTAGGGGATTAGAACCAGGTGTGTGTGATTGACAAGACAATTGTGATGATGATTGGAGCGGCAGTGGTTAGTACTCCGGTGACGACGAACGCCGAAGCCTGCCCGAACAAGGAGGGGAGGCAGCCTTGGCCGAAGTCGTGACACAAAGCACCCGCTGCTCGTTGAGAAGAGTAAGAACGATACGTGCTTTCACGTCAGAGTCTCCAAAAGTCTCCAATAACAACAGAAAAAGTTGCTAGATTTGTCGCTAGTCGCTTTTTTGAAAATGTGTCGCTAGAGGGGTCTGAAAACTCGCTAAATATAGCGACAAAGTCGCTAAGTTGGTAACACTGCGTACATGGATGACATCACTCTCACAACACCGCCTCTTTTTTGTCATATGGCACGCGGTGAACACCCTTTGCAAGCGCATTTACCAATAGAGTCAATACAGTAAATCATCAATCAATTTACACATCCAAAAAACAGACCCGGGAGCTGTCGTGTAGCTACACAGTGTAGGCTACATTTGGCAAAATTATAACAAATGCAGATTATGTTTAGCACAATTTATGCTCAGTAATCCTAATTAATAGAACAGTAGGAATTGAGGCACAGTTTCTTAATTTCTGATGTAGTTTATTGTTCTTTATTTATCACAGGCAATAATAATAATCCTAATAGTGCACTTTCATAAAAAAAAAAAAAAAAATAGACATTTCTTATTTAATCATTCTCATCATGTTGTTTTGTTCTACTGTGTATGGGGGGGGGTTACAGTTTTACAATCTTGGAATGATCAATAATGATGACAACAATAATCATATTGTGAGTACAGTGTGAATAAAGAATTAAGATATGGTTTCATACTTACTGTATACAATGGACAGAGACATGGGGAGGGGTGTGATTATATAAGGATGGGGTGGGGTTGAGGTATTTTCATCTGGATGAGAAGGGGGGGGGTTCAAGAAGATATACAAAGCGATAATGAGGGTGTAGGAGGGAGTTGGAGTGGTTGGAGAGAGAGGGGGCCATTTCGTTGTAAGATTCACCCACAATGGGGGTGAAACGTCTCCCCCTCATCCCATCGTGGTTTCGCTCTAGTTGTGTCTCCAGACAGTATTTCCCCTAGTTTTTGTTTTCAGGCGAGTCAAGGCCGGGCGTAAAAGCTCTCAGTAACAGCAACGTCCAGGCCCTCTGGCCTCAACAACAGCAATTGAAACCAATAGAAGCCAAACTCTTTTAGACATGGAGCAACAGAGCTAGGCAGGGAGAGGCCTACCCCACCTATACAACGGTAGGGGTAACACTGTCTCCCACTATCCCTCTCTCATTTTTAGCACAGGATAATGGAGAATGAAAGACTGTGGGGTCGTGGGTAAAACTGTCTTGTGCCACATCTCGCACCCATTTAAATGACCCCTGACCTCTGACCTAGCATTAGAATGTGGCGTGGGAGAGGATGAGGGCTCGGAGAGGTCGTGCACATACATACTCACACAGACACCGGACACATACACGGACAGGTCGAGCAAATATAACAGGCATGTACCTCCCTCCGTACGCATCATCTTAAGGCGGCCAAACTCATTCCTGGCTATGCAAACTCTTACTACTACTATTCTGTGCAGGACGGTGCTGGATTCATATGCCACCTATATTAATGCAGTAAAAAATAACATTCACTGTCATCATCACCTATGGGGCCACATTGCTTTCCGGTAGTTTCATGCAGCATTTCATTTGTGACTAGCTTGGCTAGCCTGGTTACACATTCACAATAGTTCCTGGAACCATGCTGGAAAGGACAATGTAAAAGTAAAATATCCAAGACTGCAGAGTACGGTTCAGGTCGGCACGATAGTAGGAAAATGGGTACATGATTCCTGACAAAAGTCCTTTAGTGAAGGGTGTGAGCTACAATGAGAGGTGAGTACTCAACTCAACAAGCTATAATCATGTTCTTTGCTGTGTGGAAGGGGAGTGAGACAAGCCCCAGGTAAGGAAATAGAGGAAGACTTCCTCCCACTCTTTTTGTTATCATGGTAAATGGCCGTTTCACACCAATGAAGTGTACAGGACAGCCGATATAGACAGAGAGTATGCTAAGTAAAGAGTTACAATAACCTACTGTTCTACGTCTCCTAGCTACAGAATCGCCGTGTTTGCTGTACGAGCAGCTGTGAGCTATGGTAGCAGTGTGTTGACTCTGACTGATATAAAGTGTGATGATGGCAGATGGGGACGTGGTTTACCGTCTTAGTTACTGTGTCGTGGTCACAGCCAAGGAATGGTGAGGCAGGGTGAGATTAAAGGCAGTGGCATGAAACAACAAGATGTCAACTGACAACAAGGGACTAGGGAGCGACTAGAACGAAACCAGCGTTTTCTTTTGGTACTCTGTGCAAGGGGAAGGGGTATGAGGGGGGTCGTAATGAAGGGGGGATGGGTGGAAATGTCAGTGGCCAAGGGCGAAGGGATGGTAGGGGGAAACTACTTTATTTGTTTTGTGTCTTTTAGGACAGTGCATTCCAATTTTAAGGTCCAGTTTTAACGTTTTTTTTTCTCTGAAAGTACAGGAGGGTTTCTGTTTTCGGAGGGTCCGTGTGTGTGTGAATACGGCTTGTGTTCTGCACGTGGGGTTGGGCCCTCAGTCAGTGTTTTTATGTGGTGTGTCCATATCTTTGTACCCTTAAGTAACAACATTCTAGCAGAGTATGACAGGGAAGGAATCTGAGATTACTACCCCCACCCTTTCCTGCTCTCCTCTGCTTTTTCAAGTGTCTATGAGATTATTTTTTATTTACTTCATGGAAGATTTTAATCTTTTTTGCCATCCCAGAAATTCCCAAAGCATCAAATCTATCCTTGGTTAATTTCTTAAAATCTGTTTTGTTTTTGTTTTGTTGCTTTAAATGGGAAATCATCTTCATTATACCAAACAAAGACAAATCAACAAAAAAGACACAACATCAAAAGGAGCTGGAAGGATTTTTGCAGCATTGGTTTCTAAAACATTGAGGAATTAATGGACAAGAGGTTGTTTTCTGTCTCGCTCTGGAAAAGACGGTTCAATCTGGTTTCAACTACAGCAGCCATTTTGTCAGTTTCAATGCTGTTCCAATATTCCAACAGAACTTTCCCCTCTATTCTTGTCAGCATCTTCCCTTTCCACTATCTTTCCTCTTTACAATATATAAATCAACAAATTAATATTAAATAAATCTATGACATAAATAAAATAAATAAATACTTTTACAATAGTGTTTTTTGTTTTTGACATTCACTTGGTTAGCGTTATCCTCCATTTTGTTGGCGGCAAACATCAAACTCATTTGCGCTCAAATCACATAAACAAAAGGAAAAAGGAAACAAAAAACGAAATGGATTTCATTCTTTTTTTGTGTGTGGTCTGTTTCTTTCCTCTCCTGGAAGTGTGCAGCGGTTTCAATGTTTTTCTCTCTGTCATCCTTAAGTCAAAGTCTCTCTTTTTGTTTCTTGAAATGAGCGTTTCTACCTCCTCACCTCCCTCCATCTTTCTGCTCTCTGAACAGAACAAGTCAGTTTAGGTGTATAGGGCCTTTTCAAAAGCTGCATCATTCAGTGCCCCATGTCGGCCATATTGGAAATGGAAGGGAGGGAGGAGGGTTGGTTGGTTTCTGTAGAAGACAATAATGGATGTGGAGGGCTTGGTTCAGTCCTCTTGGAATGAACACAACTGATGAAGGTAACTTGCTGTGAACTACAACATCTTCATCTTCCATTAAGCTGAAGTGAACTGAGCTCATCATTCAGAGGATCTACTGAGGGTTCCATTCATAGTATTAGAATTACTCGAATGATTCTAATTATATCGTTCTATTATCTGTTTTAAATCTCTCCATGTTCCAGATGTCAGTTGTAGTGGGGGCGTTGAGACTTTCTTCCATGCCTTGTCTGTTCTTTTTCTTCAACTTGGGTGATATCGGTAGAGATATCCGTTGCTTAATCCTCATTTAAAGGCAAGATGGTTTTCATAAGTTTGTTTGAATTGCATTTTAGGAATCATACAAGTGTGGTGCTTAGTTATAGAGAAAACAGATATTTGTCTTTATTTTGTTCATATAGCTGTATTGACATCTTTGGAGCTACTTGGATGCAAAGATGCATTTGGACGCTTCATTCTGATTTTGATGCAGTCTTCCTCATCATTATCTTAAATTCTACCATGTTTCTGTTCTCGTAACTTATCGTTACTGAGAATCCAGTGAAAGGACCCAACCTGTCTGTTTTCTTGATATCCACTAAATTGACTTGACCCGTAATATTTCACTCTCACTGACCCAAAAAGCGATGTTAGGTAAAACTTAAAAGTGGATCCGCGTCAACTGGGAAACACTGTTATAATTGTTGATATTATTTCTGAATTTTCACAAAGAGTTTTCATCTTATTGGTTGTAGAGCGGATAACTTAAAAAAAATCAATTTAGCCTTTAACCATTCAGAACCTGCCATTCCCCATATAAGTCTGCCTGATTATTTTACTGGCTACATATTGTTGTTGACAGTTGCATGATGCGTTGTACTTCAAATGTACAATTAGACATTCTTCTGAGCTTGGCTTCTCTTCTGAAGCGAATCTATGAGCGACACTGCGTTATCTTCTTGTCTTTTCTTTCTTCTATCTTGGTGGCCAACTATCTTCTTGGGCCCGTTTCAGGTTGAAGCAGTGGTTTGTAATGATGATTGCTGGGTCAGATGGTTCGGTAGATGTGACGGTGGTGGTGGTGATGGTGGTAGTCTGAGGGGGTTTGTCTGTGTTGTTTTCTAGGGTCATCTCTCTTTATCTTTCTGCCCAATCCTGTCCTGTTGATGTCTGTTTCCACAATGTTCCCTCAGGGCTGGGACTGTGTCCCGTTGGAGGAAAGGAGTCTGGTCTTGTCTTTGCCCGAGCCCCTCCTTTGAAGCACGCTCCCGCTACCCCCTATCCCTGCATCACCACGCTCACACCTCTCCCCCCGGTCCCCACCTCCTTCCGAACGTCGGGAGTTTTGCCGGGTCGGGGTGCCGGGTGGACGAGAGGTCAGCTGCCCATTCTTCTCATCTAGGGAGAAAAAGAAAGACATGAGTTTGATGAAGACAGAGATATAAATAGTGTGTTTGTGTGTGTGTGTGAGGGGACCCACCAGCAAGTGCCTGCACAGATGGCTGATCATGAGTACTAAGTAACTGGGCTTGAATCGTTTCCACCACTCTCTTGAACCTGCGACTTGGACCTAAGGAGACAGACAAACACTACGTCAAGGTATACACTGCCCCGCATCAATATGGAGATCACGTTAAGATTAATTACCTACACGTATAATGAGTTCTGTTAACTGTCTCCTGACAGTTTCGTGGTACATGTTGGGGATATATATATTTTTTATTTTTTTATTTAACCTTTATTTAACCAGGTAAGCCAGTTGAGAACAAGTTCTCATTTACAACTGCGACCTGGCCAAGATAAAGCAAAGCAGTGTGATAAAAACAACAACACAGAGTTACATATGGGGTAAAAAAACATAAAGTCAAAAAAAAAATACAACAGAAAATATATATACAGTGTGTGCAAATGTAGCAAGTTATGGAGGTAAGGCAATAAATAGGCTATAGTGCAAAATAATTACAATTAGTATTAACACTGGAATGCTAGATGTGTAAGCGATTATGTGCAAATAGAGATACTGGGGTGCAAAAGAGCAAAATAAATAACAATATAGGGATGAGGTAGTTGGGTGGGCTAATTTCAGATGGGCTGTGTACAGGTGCAGTGATCGGTAAGGTGCTCTGACAACTGATGCTTAAAGTTAGTGAGGGAGATAAGAGTCTCCAGCTTCAGAGATTTTTCGTTCCAGTCATTGGCAGCAGAGAACTGGAAGGAATGGCGGCCAAAGGAGGTGTTGGCTTTGGGGATGACCAGTGAGATATACCTGCTGGAGCGCAGACTACGGGTGGGTGCTGCTATGGTGACCAATGAGCTAAGATAAGGCGGGGATTTGCCTAGCAGTGATTTATAGATGGCCTGGAGCCAGTGGATTTGACGACGAACATGTAGTGAGGACCAGCCAACAAGAGCGTACAGGTCACAGTGGTGGGTAGTGTATGGGGCTTTGAAGACAAAACGGATGGCACTGTGATAGACTAAATCCAATTTGCTGAGTAGAGTGTTGGAGGCTATTTTGTAAATGACATCGCCGAAGTCAAGGATCGGTAGGATAGTCAGTTTTACGAGGGCATGTTTGGCAGCATGAGTGAAGGAGGCTTTGTTGCGAAATAGGAAGCCGATTCTAGATTTAACTTTGGATTGGAGATTCTTAATGTGAATCTGGAAGGAGAGTTTACAGTCTAACCAGACACCTAGGTATTTGTAGTTGTCCACATACTCTAGGTCAGACCCGTCGAGAGTAGTGATTCTAGTCGGGTGGGCGGGTGCCAGCAGCGTTCGATTGAAGAGCATGCATTTAGTTTTACTAGTGTTTAAGAGCAGTTGGAGGCTACTGAAGGAGTGTTGTATGGCATTGAAGCTCGTTTGGAGGTTTGTTAACACAGTGTCCAATGAAGGGCCAGATGTATACAAAATGGTGTCGTCTGCGTAGAGGTGGATCTGAGAGTCACCAGCAGCAAGAGCGACATCATTGATATACACGGAGAAAAGAGTCGGCCCAAGAATTGAACCCTGTGGCACCCCCATAGAGACTGCCATAGGTCCAGACAACAGGCCCTCCGATTTGACACATTGAACTCTATCTGAGAAGTAGTTGGTGAACCAGGCGAGGCAGTCATTTGAGAAACCAAGGCTATTTAGTCTGCCAATAAGAATGCGGTGGTTGACAGAGTCGAAAGCCTTGGCCAGGTCGATGAAGACGGCTGCACAGTACTGTCTATTATCGATCGCGGTTATAATATCGTTTAGGACCTTGAGCGTGGCTGAAGTGCACCCATGACCAGCTCGGAAACCGGATTGCATAGCGGAGAAGGTACGGTGGGATTCGAATTATAGGATAAAATATAGGATAAAATCATGCCAAACATTGGTTACCAAACACTGATTACACATTTTTGCCAATAAAAGTCTCATAGACTAAATTAAACTGTAACTTAAAGCGAATCCTAACTTCCGCTTAAGTCAAATTTTCACTTGAAAATCCTACTCCCATTGACATCAATTCATAACTAAGTGACAATTCGCATTAAGTGAAAGTATTGCCCCTTGGTGGGTCGCAAGAACACTTTAAAAAAGTCGTACTGTTTCACAAACAAGTTTGGGAACCACTACCTGATATGAGGGTGAAAGTCACGCTGTAGATGCTCTTTCCTTCCCTTTCAGCTCGTCCCCTCTCTCTCTCCCTCTCTTCCTCAGAGAAGGCGATGTCCACCTGGAACTTAACGGGCTTCTGGAAGACGGAGGGGCCACCAGAGGACTTATACTCTGCTCTGAAGCTGGTCTGGGAAATGACGCTGTGACTCAGGGACGGGATCTGGACAGATGTAATGTAAAAACACAGCATTGGAAACAGAGGTGGAAACAGCTTTACAAGCCTTACAAGATTTTCATAAATGTTTATTTGTTCATGTTTTATGAATGTGGTTGTGTATCTTTGCATCATGGCTGTACAGGCCTTTCACTGAAACTCAGTGAGGGGAAGGTACAGATACAGAGTTAAAGAGAAGGAGATAGAGAGAGTGAGAGAGAGAGAGAGAGAGAGAGAGAGAGAGAGAGAGAGAGAGAGAGAGAGAGAGAGAGAGAGAGAGAGAGAGAGAGAGAGAGAGAGAGAGAGAGAGAGAGAGAGAGAGAGGAAGAATGAATGAGGATAGAGGATAGACAGAGATACTTACAGACAAGAAGGCATGGACTATATCAGCTTTGATGGAACTAAGTGGTTTGTCTCTAATGACAACAAATATCTGTTCCTCCTTTTCCAGGCTGATGAAGTTCCCAAACCACGACTTCTTGGCCAGCCTGCAATTCAGAAGCATTCTTAACAGTTATACAGTTGAAGTCAGAAGTTTGCATACACTTAGGTTGGAGTCATTAAAACTAGTTTTTCAACCACTCCACAAATCTCTTGTTAACAAACTATAGTTTTGGCAAGTCGGTTAGGACATCTACTTTGTTCATGACACAAGTAATTTTTCCAATAATAGTTTATAGACAGATTATTTCACTTATAATTCACTGTATCACAATTCCAGTGGGTCAGAAGTTTACATACACTAAGTTGACTGTGCCTTTAAACAGCTTGGATAATTCCAGAAAATGATGTCATGGCTTTAGAAGCTTCTGATAGGCTAATTGACATAATTTGAGTCAATTGGAGGTGTACCTGTGGATGTATTTCAAGGCCTACCTTCAAACTCAGTGCCTCTTTGCTTGACATCATGGGAAAATCAAAAGGAATCAGCCAAGACCTCAGAAAAAAAATTGCAGACCTCCACAAGTCTGGTTCATCCTTGGGAGCAATTTCCAAACGCCTGAAGGTACCATGTTCATCTGTACAAACAATAGTACGCAAGTATAAACACCATGGGACCACGCAGCCGTCATACCGCTCAGGAAGGAGACGCGTTCTGTCTCCTAGAGATGAACGTACTTTGGTGCGAAAAGTGCAAATCAATCCCAGAACAACAGCAAAGGACCTTGTGAAGATGCTGGAGGAAACAGGTACAAAAGTATCTATATCCACAGTAAAACGAGTCCTATATCGACATAACCTGAAAGGCCGCTGAGCAAGGAAGAAGCCACTGCTCCAAAACCTCCATAAAAAAGCTAGACTACAGTTTACAACTGAACATGGGGACAAAGATCGTACTTTTTTTTCCTCTGGTCTGATAAAAACAAAAATAGAACTGTTTGGCCATAATGACCATCGTTATGTTTGGAGGATAAGGGGTAGACTTGCAAGCCGAAGAACACCATCCAGACTGTGAAGCACGGGGGTGGCAGCATCATGCTGTGGGGGTGCTTTGCTGCAGGAAGGACTGGTGCACTTCACAAAATAGATGGCATCATGAGGAAGGAAAATGATGTGGATATATTGAAGCAACATCTCAAGACATCAGTCAGGAAGTTAAAGCTTGGTCGCAAATGGGTCTTCCAAATGGACAATGACCCCAAGCATACTTCCAAAGTTGTGGCAAAATGGCTTAAGGACAACAAAGTCAAGGTATTGGAGTGGCCATCACAAAGCCCTGACCTCAATCCTATAGAAAATATGTGGGCAGAACTGAAAAAGCGTGTGCGAGCAAGGAGGCCTACAAACCTGACTCAGTTGCACCAGCTCTGTCAGGAGGAATGGGCCAAAATTCACCCAAGTTATTGTGGGAAGCTTATGGAAGGCTACCCAAAACCTTTGACCCAAGTTAAACAATTTAAAGGCAATGCTACCAAATACTAATTGAGTGTATGTAAACTTCTGACCCACTGGGAATGTGATGAAAGAAATAAAAGCTGAAATAAATAATTCTCCCTACTATTATTCTGACATTTCACATTCTTAAAGTGGTGATCCTAACTGACCTAAGACAGGAAATTTTTACTAGGATTAAATCTCAGGAATTGTGAAAAACTGAGTTTAAATGTATTTGGCTAAGGTGTATGTAAACTTCCGACTTCAACTGTATATTCATATTTTTATATTTTTAAGAATCTACATTTAAAATGTATGTTAAATATAGGTGCTTATTACCATTTATGAACATTTATAAGTATTTATAATGGCTTATTCAAGGAAGTTGATATGAAGTGTTACCGAAACATGCAGCATAGAAAAGTGTTACAGGCTAGCAGATAGATAGCATTTTACATGACAGGCAGGACAGTCATTCTGATGGATATAGATAGCCTAACTGTATATGTCTATGATTATCTACTTACTCTGGGCTTGATTCTGGAGTTAGACTGGACATGTCTTCCGGTGTTGGAACTACAGGAGAGCAAAAGGAGAGAGATGGAGAGAGAAAGAAAGAGAGAGAGGGGGCGGGAAGAAAGAGAGAGAGAAAGAAGAGAGAGTCAGAGAGAGAGAGATGGGGGAGTTATATATAGAGGGAAAGATAGAAAAAGAAGGAGAAAGATAGAGCGGGTGGGGAGGGAGAGAGGGAAGTAGAACTTGATGACATTACTTGATGAGGTTCAGTTTCATTGATTTAATTACCAATCTGTCTAATTAATTTGAGCACCGTATAGTACACTACAGTCCTTCTGCAATGGTAGAAGAGACTGTGGCTACTTTGAGAACAGAATATGCACATACTGGTCACTTTAATCATGTCTACATACTGTTTTACCCACTTCGTATGTATATACTGTATTCTAGTTATGGCTCATTCTATAGTGCCTTCAGAAAGTATTCACAACCCTTGACTTTTTCCACATTTTGTTGTGTTACAGCCTGAATTTAAAATTGATTAAATAGCGATTTTTTTTCACTGGCCTACACACAATACCCCATATTGTCAAAGTGGAATTATGTTTTTAGACATTTTTACAAATTAATAAAAAATTAAAAGCTGAAATGTCTTGAGTCAATAAGTATTCAACCCCTTTGTTATGGCAAGCATAAATAAGTTCAGGAGTAAAACTGTGCTTAACAAGTCACATAATAACTTTAACATGATTTTTGAATGACTACCTCATATCTGTACCCTACACATGCAATTATCTGTAAGGTTCCTCAGTCGAGCAGTGAATTTCAAACACAGATTCAACCACAAACACCAGGGAGGTTTTCCAATGCCTCGCAAAGAAGGGCACCTATTGGTAGATGTCTAAAAAAAAGCAGACATCGAATATCCCTTTGAGCAAGGTGAAGTTATTAATTACACTTTGGATGGTGTATCAATACACCCATTGACTACAAAGATACAGGCATCCTTCCTAACTCAGTTGCCGGAGAGGAAGGAAATCGCTTAGGGGATTTCACCATGAGGCCAATGGTGACTTTAAAACAGTTACAGAGTTTAATGGCTGTGATAGGAGAAAACTGGGGATGGATCAACAACGTTGTAGTTACTCCACAATACTAACCTAATTGAAGCCTGTACAGAATAAAAAACATTCCAAAACATGCATCCTGTTTGCAACAAGGAACTAAAGTAATACTACAAAAATTGTGGCAAAGCAATTAACTTTTTGTCCTGAATACAAAGTGTTATGTTTGGGGCAAATCCAATATAACACATTACTGAGTACCACTCTCCATATTTTCAAGCATAGTGGTGGCTACATTATGTTATGTGTATGCTTGTAATCGTTAAGGACTGGGTAGTTTTTCAGGATAAAAACAAACCCAGAATGGAGCTAAGGACAGGCAAAATCCTAGAGGAAAACCTGGTTCAGTCTGCTTTCCACCAGACACTGGGAGATGAATTCACCTTTCAGCAGGACAATAACATAAAACACAAGGCCAAATCTACACTGGAGTTGCTTACCAAGAATACAGTGAATGTTCTTGAGTGGCTGAGTTACAGTTTTGACTTAAATCTGCTTGAAAATCTATGGGAAGACTTGAAAATGGTTGTCTAGCGATGATCAACAACCAATTTGACAGAACTTGAAGAATTTCGAAAAGAATAATAGGCAAATATTGTACAATCCAGGTGTGCAAAGCTCTTAGAGACTTACCCAGAAAGACGCACAGCTGTAATCGCTGCCAAAGGTGATTCTAACATGTGAATACTTATGTAAATGAGATATTTCTGTATTTCATTTTCAATACATTTACAGAAATGTCTAAAAACATTTAGTTAACTTTGTCATTATGGGGTATTGTTTTTTTTTATCCATTTTGAATTCAGGCTGTAACACAACAAGGGGTATGAATATTTTCTGAAGACACTTTGTAACTACTGCTGTACACACCTTTCCTATTCATATACTGTCCATACTGTCTATACACACCATTATATACATATATATTTATAAACCGGACTCTGACATTGCTCGTTCTGATATTTCTTTATTTCTTTATTTTTAGTTTGGGGATTTGTGTGTATTGTTTTGTATTGTTAGGTATACTGCGCTGTAATCAATTGATTTGATTTGATTGAAAATATGAATCACAATGCATATCATTGTTTATATCATATTATTTACTTTAGATATCCAAACATCAAGGTTTGGCCCAATTCCGTTTTGACTCCATCAAATGAAATGAAATACATTGAATTGCCAAATTCCTGAATTGAAATAGAATTCACCTCTCTCCCCCTGCAGTTTGCCCATACCCCCCCTCCCCTCTCACACTGCAGCTTGCCCACACTCCCCCCTCTCTCTCACCCTGCAGTTTGCGTCGGTGGAAGCGTGGCGATCCCAGCAGGTTGTTCTTGAAGGAGTTGAGGCGTGTCCTCCAGTGGGCAGAGCTACTGGCAGCCATCCCCCCGCTGCCTCCGGGGCTGGAGGGTGGGGTTAGGGAGAGGGATCCGCCCCCGCCCCCTCCCTCCGCCCGCGAGGAGGAAGAGGAAGAGGAGGAAGAGGGAGGGGTGGGCGGGGGGTGCTGGGGATGGTGGACGGGGGTGCCCAGGGGGGTGGGGAGTGGAGACCCCTGAGGGGTGACCTGTGGCACAGGGGCAGAGTTAGGATAGGCGCTCTTAGTGACCGACTTAAAGACGGAGGGGGCGGGGAAAAAGAAGAAGCGAGGGATGGGGGAGAGGATGGGTGAGGGGGACGGAGAGGGAGGAGCTTGGAGAGGTAGTGACTTCATGGACTGAAAGTGGGGGCGATCGGAGAGCCCTTTGGAGGGCAGGGTCTGGGTTTTGGGGTCGGGCACGGTCGTCCGTTGTGTCGGCCGGGGAGTGGTGGCACTTCCTGGTTTGGGGTCTTTGGAGTGGGTGGTGGAGGTGGAGGTGACTTCTGATTGGCTGAAAGTGAAAACTGGGCTCTGATGGTTGGGAACAGAAAGGACAGAGGGATGGAGAGGAGGGAAGGAGGGAAGGAAAGATGGAAAGATGAAGAGAGCAATGGTCCTGAGTTATGATTTATGAATAAACTGTAGACTTCTGATTGTACTTACATTTCTAATTATAGAGATTTATCCAATTATGAATATTCTGTTATTACTCTTATTATGTAAATTGAATAGAGTACATTTTGAATAAAGGTCCAGAGGCCCTTTCAATTTGAGGGCTAATATGTGATCTTATCTGTGTGTGTCTCTTGTGTGATTCTAGGCCCTTACTATTAGTGTGTGTGTGTGTGTGTGTGGGGGTGGGGGGGGGGGGGGGGGTGCGTGCGTTCGTGCATTTGTGTGTGTGTATGTGATGGTGTCTATGGTATGGGTAATGGCTCAGAATGGGACAGTATGAGGGTGATGGACAGTCAGGACAAGTGACAGTCTCAGAAGAACAGTTACAATTACAATTACAATTCAGTTCAGTACAGAGAAACGCAATCAAATCACAGTAGTGTAGCTGTGCAGTAAGCACATTTCACCATGAACAAAAGGTAGTCTCATCTGAATGTGAGTTCAGCATATCAAAGATATACTTATGTACAAAAATATACTGATATTACAGGTATGGTATTTTATAAATTCTATAGTAGAACCACCTTTATAATAATAATCAGGTAGTGTAAATGTGTGTCCATTTGTAAAAGAGCATGATAAGATAAGAGTTGGCCAAGCGTGACTTACCCTGGGACTGCTGAGGGGACTTGACGAGAGCCCTGTTGAAGCTCCACTGACAGAACGAGACCTGGAGGACAAAATACCACTATCAGACAACACTGGTACAGAAACACATAACATGGTCCCCCTTATGGAAAAACCACGTGAATTTCATGTGATCTTATGTTAAGTTAATGTGATAACGTGACAACATGTCAAAGCAACATGTGATAACATGAAACTACACGTCACAACATTTCATAGTTTTTCACATGTGAAAGTGCAAATCCGATATTCACGCGAAAGTTTTTCACATGTGAAAATGCAAATCCACATGTGAGTTTGATTTTCACATGTGAAAACTGTTCACATATGTCACTCGTTTCAGGGAACTAGGCATATGTCGCGCATCACTACTTCACAGGAGAACGTAAACTTTTTAAAAAAAATCAAAATCTGGAACATGTGAACTTTCATGTGCCTTAATAACACACTTGTATGCCATCTGTAAATACAAATAAAATTGTTAAATTACGAACCTAGTTGGTTTAGCCACGGAAAAAGACAGCAACCTTTCGCTAGCCATGATTGGCTGAGATAATGAGTGGGCTGGACATGCCGAGAGATGAGTTCGGATTGGTCTGCCATGTAGCCCACATCTGTCTATAACATGAGCTGGTCAGTATGTGTTGGTAATCCTTTCTAACACAGCTTTTTTGAAAGATGTCACGTAGCAGAACTGCATAAGTGTTGCTCTCCACTTTCTGGAGGACCGAGTTTTGAAATCAGTGGAAATAGAGTATGATAGCTAAGGAGATGGAGAAAATTCTGGCGTTTGATTGCAAATATGCAGACGAAGTCGAAAGGAGAACACACAGAAGGCTGTTGTATAAAACACCTGTCTCCGGATCTTCAAACTAAGGGAAACCATGGCATCCGTGACAGAGAGGGAGAAGCGTCCATCCATGTATACGGGTAAGATAGTCTAGCAAGCTACATTTTCAGATATTACACATTTCTAATTTTATCAAAGTCGTTTTCATTTAAAGTTAAAGTGTACCGTTAGCTAGCTAGCTAACGTTAGCTGGCTGGCTCGCTAGCTAACGTTACGTGTATGATCTGTGTAGTAATATTATTCGTATCTCAGAGCCATTTGCATTGCTATTTATAGCCTAACGTTAGCTAGCTAACATTGAACCTGGTTGGTTAGCTACCTGCAGATTCATGCAGGGTAGTAATGTTATGAGTTGGGATTATGGTTCATTGTTTAGCTAGCTAGCTATATGTCTAAACAAAAGACTCCACTATACAAGTAACAATTTCAATAGAATGTTCATGATGTCACTGCGACAACTGTCGATAGACGTAGCAGGTAAATTCGCATTGACTATCTACTCCGATTTCAGAGCACTCTCGTCTGAGTGTGCCAGAGCGCACAATAACTGAGAAATTTACGAACGCTCAACACCCGTTGAATATGGCCGGTGTCAGTAAACGTTGGCAAAAAAGCATAATTAAATTGTTTCCAGCAGCACAGTTGCAGTCACCAACGCTCTGGATAACATAAAAACAGCCTAACCAGCTCTGCTAGGGCGAGTAAAATGGTCAGAGTGAGCTGTACTCTCATTTGTGTCTGGAAGTAGCTAGCCAATGTTAGCCAGTTAGCTTGGGTGCTTGACGGCTGTTGTTAGGACAGAACGCTCGGATCAACCCTAATTCTTCGGCTAGAGCTTCCAGTGTACGCTCTGAACGCTCCGAGAGCGAAATGCTCTGAATTTACGAACGGACAATCTGACAACGCTCTGGGTTTACGAACACCCAGAGCACACTCTGGCAGTCCAGATTAAATTTACGAACACACCCGTAGTATAAACCAGCCTTTAGACTTGAAATCTTTGGTTGTTTAGTACATGGCCTCACATGTGAATCCTTAAAGAGATGGGTGGGAAAGAGGGTGTGAACGATGCTGAATGGGTGTAGACAAAGAAGAGCTCTCCAGTAGGTACCAAAACATTCAAGGGCCATTTTCTCAAAAGTTTATCAACTTTCAAAGCAGAATGACTTTCCCATTGTTCCTCAACTGTAGTGTATGATATACCCTTTTCTATCTCTCATCTCTACTTTTATCCAATGTAAAAAAACACAATTTCAAATTTTGCTACATAAGACCGAATCGAGCCGGTCAGTCACATATGAAAGTGCAAATTCGATTTACACATCTGAAAGTTTTCACATGAAAAAAACATGAAAACATTTTATACTCCTCACATGTGAAAAGGTGTTAACATGTGAACTCTATATTGAATACATGTGAACAACTAACCTAATGTGCTTCTTATTTTCTCATGTGAAGATTTCAGATCAATTCCAGCTTCATAATGTGAAACTGCAAATTTCACGTGTTTTTGTAAGGTAAGTAATTAAATGGCATGGGGGTTTTAAGCTAAATGGTACGCTGTTAAGCAAAAATGTGTAATAAAAAGGTGTACAAATCTTTCATCACTGACAATATGATTACATTTGACATAATCACTTAGTACTGACTTTTCAATATGACCCCGCCTTGGATTTGAACTCACAACCTCTGGATTTGGGTTACGCTGATCTTTCTGCTGCAGCACAAAGTCTGTAGCATTCTAAGAAGTCACATACACATTCATTACCTATAATACATCTCTGCACATAGAAAAAGTGTGCCATCTGCACTGCTATTTTAGTTATCGGTTAATCTGACTATTCTCTCATCATTGATTTCATTGACTTATCTCAGCAATTTGAGGGTTTTCTGTATAGTTGTCTAATGTTAGTGGGGCATATTATTCTGTTTTAAGGTTACTCCTGAATATCAATATAATAGTTTTTCTTGAGTGTATTATACAAAGCTGAGATTTACTTTGAAGTCCAAAGTGTAGGAATACATGTGAAATCAGTCTTTGACACAGACATGGTGGTGTAACAGGAAGATCGTAATGCTGTGAACCAAGAGGTTGTGAGTTCAAATCCCAGGTGAGGACATGTTGAATAATAATTACTGTAGAAATACACAATGGAATCACGTGTGTCAAATATCTAAGTGGAAAACACTGCAGCAAATTAGTGACGTTCCGGGGACATCATATTAAGTTTTGTTTGCAGGGCATCATGTGAATATTTGAAAGGTGAAAGGTTATGTGATCACATGACAATTCACATGAATTATCATCACATGTGAAGTGTTCCAAAACCACATGGTTTCACATGTGAAATAGAATTTTGCATGTGCAAAACATGTGGAACTTTCACATGTGAAAACGTGATTTTCCACATGTGACATTTGTCCGTAACAACACTCTGTGCATATTTGGTGTGCATGTGTGTGTTTTTATGTGCGACCTATCTATGTCTAACCTCTGGCTGTGTGCGGAGGTGTCCAGCGCCCTGCGCGTGGGTGTGGGGGAGCCCTGCTCCGTCACACTCAGCACCTCCAGACTCTTCCTCTCCGGCCGGCACCGGCCATGACGGGTCAGCATGGGAGAGTCCACCCGCTTCCTAGGGGGATCTGCTGGGAGACCTTAGAAAGGTTAGAATCCAGGTCTCAGAGGTACAGAGAAAGGTTAAAGCACCTCTAACCTTTGTTATTTAAAGCACTGGTGCATCAAAACACAAATTTGGCGGGAGGTTTTGACATGCTGACATATTGGACATGTTTCCAAAACAAACTGCAGACCAACATGAATTTGTTGTAAAGTTTTGTCACAGGACATTTCTTTTGAAAAGTTTCAATGTAGGACTTTTATTTTGAAACGAATCACCAGATGTTGTTTATTGTCGCTAGCTTCACAGATACCTATCAGTAAGTCAGAGTTGGCTAGAAATAGAATGTTCCAAATTATTTCTGAGAATGTTATGTTGGAATATAATATAAATAGAATGTTTCTGGGAGTGCTGAGAGCGCACTGTGGACACTCTGGAGTAATCAGAGTGTCCAATAACAGAGTGTCCAATAAGTGTAGGTTAGGTAAGAATGTTGATTATTTCTAACATTTGTTGTCTAAAGGTTTTCTTTCCAACCTATATCATTCCTGGGCGGCAGGTCTTCATCCTCACAGCTGGGGTAACGCTCTTTCCTGTCCAAGAGGAGGTAGTAGATCATCTTCTCCTGGTTGTCTCTGAGAGAGAGAGAGAGGAGAGAGAGAGAGAGAGAGAGAGACGCGAGAGATTATCAGATGAGTATCCGAGAATCAGATAGAGAGAGAGGATGAGAGAGGAGAAGATCGAGAGAGAGAGAGAGAGAGAAGAGAGAGAGAGAGAGAGAGAGAGAGAGAGAGAGAGAGAGAGAGAGAGAGAGATAGAGAGAGAGAATATATATTCCCAGTTGTGTAAAAATACTTTAAAGTACTACTTAAGTCGTTTTTTGGGGTATCTGTACTTAACTTTAGTATTTATATTTTTTACAACTTTTACTCCACTACATTCCTAAAGAAAATAATGCACTTTTTACTCCTTACATTTTCCCTGACACCCAAAAGTACTCACTACATTTTGAATGCTTAGCAGGACAGGAAAATGATCTAATTCACATACTTATCAAGAGATCATTCCTGGTCATCCCTACTCCCTCTGATCTGGGGGACTCACTAAACACAAATGCTTCGTTTGTAAATTATGTCTGACTGTTGAAGTGTGCCCCTGGCTATCCGTAAATATTCACTTTCACTTTTACTTGAGTCATTTTCTTTTAAGGTATCTTTACTATTACTGAAGTATGACAATTGGGTACATTTTCCACCACTGCCTGTTCCTACTACTAATGATGAGGTGCCAGAGACACTAAGAGAGAGATCAAGAGTTCGTTTCCACAGCAACCAGCGAACGGTGACACTACAGGGGCCACATCAAGGGACACTCACACTGCAGGTCCCGGGTCAGCTTTCCCTGGTCTCTAAAAGCAGCCCAGACAGTACTCACTCCTCACACTGCAGGTCCCGGGTCAGCTTTCCCTGGTCTCTAAAAGCAGCCCAGACAGTACTCACTCCTCACACTGCAGGTCCTGGGTCAGTTTTCCCCGGTCTCTGAAGCAGCCCAGAGAGTGCATGCTGTCCAGTACATCGGGGTCCAGCTCTGTCAGCGACACGATCCTCTTCACACACACACGCCTGGGAGGAGGCTGCTCCGGACACGGCTCGTTACGACCACCACTGACAGGGGAGAAATATGGAAAGGGGGAAAGAGAGAGATTGAGAGGTGGAAATGGAGAGAGACAGAGATAGAGAGAAAGACAGATGAGGGGAGAAAGGTAAAGATGGGTAAAGAGTTCTGTGAAAAAGGCCACATAGACAATCAACATGTAGAACTATTCAATTGACTGTATTTATTTTAATCTTCTACTCAGAGAGAAGAAGACAATGATAAATTGAGAGTGAGAGAAAATCGAGTAGAATGGGATGGGTGTACTTACAGATACCAGGAGTGTTTTTGTATTGCTTCTAGCTGTAAGAGAACACAGACACAGACAGTTATTTATCAAAACAGAACACACAGTAGTCCTACATCTAGTCAGTAGCAGCAACATCTCCTGGTACCGTCTCTCGCTCCCTCACCCCCCTCTCTCTCCCCCACCCTCTTTTCCCTCTCCTCCCCTGTACCGTGAATCTCTTGTCAGGGTTGACCTCGATCATTCCTTTGAGCAGGGCCTGGCTCTCTTTTGCCCCATCATCATCATCCTCCTTCTCTCCCTTCCACCATCCTCCCCCTCTATCCCCCTCTCCTCCCCCGTACCGTGAGTCTCTTGTCAGGGTCGACCTCAATCATTCCTTTGAGCAGGGCCTGGCAGTCTGGGGGGATGAAATGAGGCATGTGGAACACCCCGCTCTTCACCTTCTCAAGGAGCTGGCGCAGGTTGTCATGGTCAAAGGGTAGAGCTCCCTACACACACACACACACACACACACACAAACATGCACACACACACACAGGAGAGGAGAGAGGGGAGTTACAGAGCGAGAGACATAGAGGGGTAGAAAGAGATGGAGAGAGAGGAAGAGCTTCTTACCACCAGCAGTGCAAAGAGGATGACACCACAGCTCCATACATCTGCCCTGCGACCATCATACTTCTCCCCCTGCAATTCCAGAGGACGGCATTCACTGATCATTCATATATACACACATATTGTAGGTGTATGCACCTAGACAGTAGCCACAGACGTACAGAGAGAAAGGGAACTTACCCTGATAACTTCTGGACATGCATAGTGAGGAGATCTGTAATCATTCAGAAGAAAGAAAATCAAGTGATAAACATACTGTACATCACTAAGGACACCCGCCTCTCCATGCAGGAACACACACCCAGTACTCACCCACAGCTGGTCTCCAGCAGGCTGTCCCCCACCTGTAGGGAAGCCATGCCGAAGTCAGCGATACGGATGTTGTTCTTCTCATCCAGGAGCAGGTTCTCAGGCTTCAGGTCTCTATGACTACACACACACACACACATGCGGACATGCACATACACACACACACACACACACACACACACACACACCAAACAGGTTTGAGAAACAGGTCTGTTCTCTTCTTTCACTTCTTCTTTTCTTTCTCAATCTCTCTAGAGTTTTAAATGGATTGATTTTAAATTGTGGCTGTGTATACACTGAGTATATCCAGAGACTGATCAGGTGAATCCAGGTGAAAGCTATGATCCCTTATTGATGTCACTTGTTAAATCCACTTCAATCAGTGTAGATGAAGGAGGAGACAGGTTAAAGAAGGATTTTTAAGTATTGAGACATGGATTGTGTATGCGTGCCATTCAGAGGGTGAATATTTAAGTGCCTTTGAACGGGGTATGGTAGTAGGTGCCAGGCGCACTGGTTTGTGTCAAGAACTGCAAACTCTGCTGGCTCTTTCACGCTCAATAGTTTCCTGTGTCCCAAAGCCAAATGACATCTAGCCAACTTGACACAACTGTGGGAAGCATTGGAGTCAACATGGGCCAGCATCCCTCTGGAACGCTTTCTACACCTTGTAGAGTCCATGCACCGACTAATTGAGGCTGTTCTGAGGGCAAAGGGGGGGGGGGGGGGGGGGTTGCAACTCAATATGAAGGTGTTCCTAATGTTTGGTATACTCAGTGTATCTAGCTGTATACAGTATATTGCTGTATATACTGTATTGCTGTAGTCTCTGCCATACAGAGTGACTGTGTATATATTGCTGTAGTCTCTGCCATACAGAGTGACTGTGTATATATTGCTGCAGTAGTGTCTGACCATATAGAGTGGCTGTGGCAGAAGTCCAGGGCTGAGATTATCTGTCTGAAGAACTTCCTGGCCTCTTTAGGCGTCAGTCTGCCCTTCTTCACCAGGTAGTCAAATAACTCTCCTCCTGAGACATGCTCCAACACCAGATACCTGGCAGAGAGAATGACAGGGAGGGAGGGAGGAATCAAATACTGTATGTTCAAGCATATAATAATAACAAACTCATTCACCTACTGTACATGCTTATACATACACTCATACACTCGGACACATTTGGATGTGTACAGCTTGTTCATATGCTCACACATTCAGTACAGCACCAATTATCACTCACACACACACATTCATGCACGCACGCACATACACATGCATGCATGCACGCACTCACGCACATACACACACACACATACACACACACACAGTATATTAGTATATTATTGAGTTTTAGTACAGTACAAGAGACAGGCAGAAAGAGAGGGAGAAAGAGTGTGAGTGAGAAAAGAGGATAATATACTTACAGGTATTTGTTATTCTCATAAACATCATGCAGCTTCAGCACATGAGGGTGCTCTATTAGTTTTAGAATAGCTATCTCCCTCTCCACCTAGAGAGAGAGAGAGGAGAGAGAGAGGAGTAGAGAGAGAGAGAGAGAGAGAGAGAGAGAGAGAGAGAGAGAGAGAGGAGAGAGAGAGAGAGAGAGGAGAGAGAGAGAGAGAGAGAGAGAGAGAGAGAGAGAGAGAGAGAGAGAGAGAGAGAGAGAGGCGATAAAGATAGCAGGAGAAAGAGGGGAAGAGAAAGAGAGAGAGAGAGAGAGAGAGAGTGTGTCAGTGAGCGAATGTGACAGAAAGAGTTTGTATACACCCAGTGCATAGCCTATACACACCTCCTCTACCCCAGAAGAAGAATACAAAGAAGAACTAAAGAGGAAGAAAAAGCTGATGATATATTGTATATCAATTCATTCATTATTAACGACAGCATGCTGGCTGTCTATATAATGTGCTCCTACAAATGGATATTAGCAGGCTCATGGCTCTCTCTGTACGCTACTGTACTTTCAGAAGGACAGACTCAGAGACCTTCTGAGTCCCAAATGGCACCTTATTCCCTATGAAGGGCACTACTTTTGACCATGGCCCATGCTCTGGTCAAAAGTAGTATACCATTTTACATTTTAGTCATTTAGCAGACTCTTATCCAGAGTGACTTACAGTTAGTGAGTGCATACATTTTCATACTGGTCCCCCGTGGGAGTCGAACCCACAACCCTGGCGTTGCAAGCGCCATGCTCTACCAACTGAGCTACACAGGACTACTAGGGAATAGGGTGCCATTTGGGACACAGGCAGCTTCTCTGGGTTCATACCTTCATAAGGACAGACTCAGACAGCTTCTCTCTGTTCACAATCTTTATGGCCACCTTTTGTTCCGTAATACAGTGGACTCCCAGCTTCACCAAACCTGGAGAAAAAAAAAGCTTTGAGTTTGTCTTGTTTGTTTTAGTTACCTTTATTTTCAACACAGTTCAATTCTCATTCATAACAAGTGAACCAGAACCAGACCATGCAGGAGACACGGGTGGAGCATGACCTCACCCAAACCATATTGACTTGACTATGCAGAACCTAATGGCCTAATTCAGCGACTTCAGTCTACATCAATCTGTTTATAGTTCAACCAGTTCAATCCACTAAGGCTACACTAGCCTGTTTCCAGCACTGACATCTGATACGACAAGTCTACCACTTACTCACCAAAACCTCTATAATAAACCAAGCAATTTCAGTCTTCTCTATCGATTTAAATTCAAGGCAGCTGGTCACATTACACAAGTCTAAACAGGTCTACCGAGGGCCAGATTCCCAGACCAGGATTAAGTCTACTCCTAGATTAAAAAGCATGCTCAGTGAAGAAAGTGTTGTTTATAATAATAATATAAATAATAACATGCCATTTAGGAGACGCTTTTATCCAAAGCGACTTACAGTCATGCGTGCATACATTTTTGTGTATGGGTGGTCCCGGGGATCGAACCCACTACCTTGGCGTTACAAGCGCCGTGCTCTACCAGCTGAGCTACAGAGGACCACTTCAGTCCAGGAATAGAGTATAGACCTAATCTGGGTCTGGTACATCAGCCCTTAATAGATCAGTTCAAGCTGCTAGTCCAGTCTCCGCCGTCTAGTAGCCTACCTTACTCTGGTGGAGGGTCATCTAACTCCAATATAAAGGTCTGGTTTCCCAGACACAAATTAAACCTAATCCTGGACTAAAATGCTCTTTCAATGGAGAATGGAGATTCCCTTTAGTCCTGGACTAGGCTTAATCTGTGACCGGGAAACTGTCCTTTATGTTGGAGTTAGACAGACTTCAGAGCACCAGGAGATTAAAGATAACAAGATCTGTCTGACTGTGTCCACAACTGTACTGTATTGTCAATGAGATCCACACCTCAGAACACATGGATTCATTCATTCATAAAGGACACACACACATACACAAACAAGCAGACACATACATACAACTACTCTCACAATAATTTTACATGCAACATTATACACATGTAAAACATGTGACAGCATGCTTCACATTACTGATCACAGATATTTGTAAATATCAATAATATTGGACATATTGGCCCATTCATGTGAGTTGCTACCACTGGGATGGACATACATCAAATACACACACATATCAATACTGAGGACATAATGTCCAAAGGTGCACACAGAGTGGACTCTTTAGACGACCAATTGTATTTGTCGGCCTAATACACATCACTAGTTATAGATATTACTATTTTAATCTACCATGCATTCATATTAGCAGCTATTGCGCGTGATAATGCGTTTAAAGGGAGCGGTGGAAGTATGCTTACCTGTCTGCCCCTTCCCAAGGGTTTTCTCCAGCCGGTAAGGCCCGACGTATTGGGCGGACTGGCCTACGGACAGCTCCTTGCTAGTCATGATGCCCGTGCGTTGAAAGCGAAATTATATGACGATAAGGAGATCAACTCGCTGTTTTTTTCAAGAGCAATTTATAGCTATCGGTCCTCTGGGCAGAACAGCACCGCCGTAATAACATTACAGACGCCTAGCGATGTTGTCACAGGGAGGAATAGAGAGAGCGGTTGTAGTCGTGATGACAATTTCGTGGCCTATAGTCTCGGCTAGACTACTCCCATGCACTTGCCTTTTTCTATGCGGCTATTGCATACATTTTCCGTGATATCAATTCGGTCAACTCCAGTTTATTATCAACGACCGTGAATGTATCAACGACCGTGAATTGACTAAGCAGGAATGAATTACGGGGATGTTAGAAAGTGGAAGAGGGAAATTCGTAGGGAGATTTTGACAGGTGCATATTTGAGAAGTCCAAACTGATGGCAGTTATTTTGAATTACAATTATTATTAGCAATAGACGAAATAAATGTGTCCTATTATTAATATTGGTACAGACAGAAAGCTGTAAGCAGCTGGAATAGCCTATCAAAAACTATTTCATCAGATAGGCTCCATGTAACGGCTAGATTACACACACTTCTGCACCTCATAGCCTACATCCGATACTGTCATCAGTGATCCTTAGAACATAATAATGAAATGTGTAAATAATCTTATCATAACATCTTTTAGTCTCCGTCCACCTCTTTTTGTCCCATTTTGGTATGTAGCCTATCTCTGCTCCCTCCTCTAGACTATATGAATAGTAATATTCCGTTATAGCCTCAGAGGGGTGGTTTTCCCAATATCCGGTGCACTCTTCGGATTATCCCAGGGCCTGGTATCAGGAAATAGAGGGGAACAGAGCGTCAAAACAGCCACCCTGCTATCCGCACCCGTTCGGACTAGCCTACTCTTCTCTCAATCTGTATTACCCAGTCAACGTCTGTCAACAATTTCATTTGCGTTTCTGTTCAGGCCAAAATGAATTTTTCTTTCGAGAAATGCTCGTTTTCTCTAATATTTAAAATGCTCGATTGGATGGTTGTAATAAATCGTGGTTCTACAAAAAACAAGCATCTTTAGCTGGCGTAGTACTCTCCTCCCTCCCTCTACTTCTCTCCCTTGCTCTCTCCCTCTCTCGCCGTCTATGGACATTTCACAGCATCCCGGCTCGCGCTCCTGCCGCCGCTGGTGTCAAGATTCATCCTTCACCGGCGTCCTTGTGCAGAAAGGTGTAGCTTCAGAAGCGATTCGAAAAATATCTGGTTGTCTGTTCTTTGCATCCACAATCCGTCACGGGATAGCCTTCCTTCTGGCCGCAAACCCGTTTTCTTTTCTCTCTCTCCCCTCTTCCTTCTCCTCATCCGATACGGCAGCATCAGCATCCGGGTTCCGGATGCTTCCCCCCCCCTCTCTCCCCCTCCTCTCTCTCCCCCCTCCACCCCATCCTTCCCGGTCTGCCTCTCCTTAAAATATGCTCTCCGTCGCCTCCCATCCGCTCACTTACCTGTATTCAAACACACCTACTTTTGAAGGGCTGAGGGGGTAACACATGAAAATACCCTTTCCAACATCTAATGGTGTAAAGAAAATAAGATACACTTGTTGTTGAATGTTTTTGTTGAAGAATAGAATAGATTAGAATAGAATAACAAGCCGATTAATTTACTTCCTTTTAATAGTATTTCAACCTCCCTCTTTGATCCATTTCCACGTCTTTCATATTTCATCCTAGGCAACACAAAATGTAATACAGTCATTTACAAGTGTTTAACTAAAAGTATGTTTCTCTTGATCTAGCCTATTGATTGGTAAAATCAGACAGATTTATTCATCTCACGTCACTTCTATGTGTCTAATTTCTCTCATTAGATTCATCCACAGTCCTAGCGAATGAGTACCTTTATCCATTAATAATAGGCTAATAGGCCTTGTAAGTTGCCACACCATCATGCAGTTCCGCATTTGTACAAAGGGCGGCAGTACTTGTTCATGGTCCTGACTTGGCAGGAAGTAACATACAATATGAATTTCATTGCATGATTTAATTCGATTCTTTTTTTATTTTTTTATTTATTGGGCCAATTACTATTATTTGATTTGATGGACTTATTATTATAGTGTCTTGCGTCATCCAGATGCCCAGCCCATATATGGGCTTATTATATGACACTAAGCTTGTTCAGTGTATCGTTTACAGTGTGTGAATATAATGATACTTTGTGTGAAATACATTACATGGACTGACTACATTAAATTACTTCCTAGACTATATTGGCCTGTATACATTTGAGTGTCTGGGCAGTAGGTGCAATTTATTGTTGAAACTGCAGTTCTCTTCAGACTAAATGAACAGGCAGATGACATAAAGGTGTAATTCAGTGGTCACCAACTGGTCGATCTGCACTTGATTCAGAAGCCCTGCGCACCAGGTAGGCAAAGTGTACCCATTTGGAACCATTTCATTTGTCTCAAACCACAAACTCCACCTACCTGGCGGACCGGGAGATCTATATCGAGTACGCCTACTGCGCTGGCCAATCCGATAGCTCAAATCACCGTGCCAACAGCTTCGAAGACCAGGCCACAGCAAAGTTTGATACTAGCCTACTTGAGATTTCATGACTTTTAAAACCATGACCAGAGAGAGACTGTCAAATAATACAGCAAATAGCTGTTGTTTTTATGAGTACGTTTTTATTCAACACTATTACGTCCACTCGCGCGGAAGCTGCAATAAATGAGTTGCTTAGTGTATCGATAGCCCTACGTTTTTATTAGCAGCTCGTCGTGTCTATTTTAATATCGAGGAATATTTCACTTTCTCTGGTCATAGGAACAACATTAATTTGTACATGAGGCAGATGAGGTGCGGCTCGAGTTTCGCCATCAGGTGGAAGATGGTGTCCCCTCTATGGTCAGTCTCACCGGACGAAAGGAAGGAGCGAGCAGGGACCGTGAGAGGCGGACCCTCTGCTGCTATCTCCCGACCTCCGCTGAGACAAAGGCCGTGTTCAAAACAACTGGGAACTCGAACATGTCCTACTTCCGACTTTAGTGCGTTCAAGACAACTGGGAACTCGAAAAAAAACGAGATCCGACTGGGAAAAAATAGTTTTGAACAGTCATCCAACTCGGAATTTCAGGCATCTTTTCTAGAGCTCAGACTTTCCGTCCTAAAGTCATGATTTGATCTCGTTTTTCTCCAGAGTTCCCAGTTGTTGTTTTTTTGTCATTTAGCAGACACTCTTATCCAGAGCGACTTACGGTTAAGTGCCATGCTCAAGGGCACATCGACAGATTTTTCACCTTGTCGGCTCGGGGATTAGAACCAGCAACCTTTCGGTTACTGGCACAACGCTCTTAACCACTAAACTACCTGCCGCGACCATGATGCAGGTACATCAGTCCAGTAAAATCAAAAGACTAATTATTAGCAAATTATTTCAATTTATGCTCAGCTGTGGCTCGCAACTGATCTATTTTATTATCAAAACTTGTGTTTGAAATATAATATGTTCTGAGAAGAACAATATCGCGGGGCCAGGCATATATAGCCAATATGCTATAATAATGTATTAGGGCTACTGCATAAACTTCATTCTTACAGAACTGTTTTTATTAGGTTAATGAAAAAAAAATAGTTTGTAAAAAATATCTGAGAGTCGAGCTCGGCTTGCTTTTTGACTGCGAAAGTGATCTTGACTCAGAAAAGGTTGGTGACCACTGGTGTAATTGATTGAAGTCTTCTTATCCTATGTGTATCCACAGACAGTATTAAAAGACTAATTATTAGCAATCCTGTTAGTGTCTGTACTACTAATCCTTCTCAACAACAGATAGAGTTCAGACTCTTCACCAGTCAGGTCAAGCAGGTGTAGTACTATGGTGTAGGCTACTACTATGTTGTACTACTATGTACCCTAATACCCTTCTCTATCCCATTGAAAGTCCTGGGTGAAAGTTGACCAGCGGGGGGTTTTAAACGGTATGTACCCCCACCCCTCCACATACACTACCCCCTCCCCTTCTCACCGCCCCCTTTCCATATGCCTCCCAGTAACGTGAGCGCCCCTCGTTTTTATCCCCAGTCAGGTCAAGCAGGTATCCTACTATGGTGGACTACTACTTACCCTAATACCCTCCTCTATCCTTTTTAACGTCCTGGGTGAAAATGTACCCGGGTGAAAGTTTCCCAGAGTGCGGTTTAAAACGGTACGTACCCCGTCCGCCCCGCCACATAGACTACCCCACCCCTTCTCAACACCGTCTTTCCATATGCCTCCCAGTAACGTCCCGCCCCTCGTCCTTATCCTCCTGACACATAACTCTGGGATGAACGGAAATATCTCCTCCTTCAGCAAAATTCCACTCAAGCATAGGCATCCCACTGAAGATCCAGGGGTCCAACCAGGGGTCCTGTGAGGTTAGAGTAAATATGTCTGGATTGAGCGCTGTCCTGAGGGGTATACGAAGCAAGCTGGATCTACTCAGGGTCTAATAAAGCTAACCAGCTTCAGTTAGCTTCGCATTCCAGCTCGGGCTTCATCCGTACTACGACGGTGGATGTTGCGCATCCGCCTGCCGCTAACTCTAGCATGTTGCACATGGCAAATCAAACGCCGAACTCTTCGTTGAGACAATGCCGAAACATCAATCCATGTGCGAGTCAGTGCCATTTTTTCATTTGTGCCAAAATTAAAACGAAATGAAAGTTATCTTGCAAATTCAGCAAGCTATGGTGTGAAATAGGCTTTTATTAGTGCCATATTAATTTTATTACTTATCATTAAATGCCGACTTTGGTGTGTTTATCAATGCACAATCACACGCATCTTTTTTCCCCTACTCCTATCGATAAAATAATTGTATTAAGTCATACAAAAGTATGCAACTGTGCATGAAGTTTAAAATGCATTCTGTCATTACTAAATGTGCAATGTGATATATTTTAACATTACAATTTTTTAACACACAAAACATTTGATTAATAAAATATTTGTCAGAGGAAGGCCCT